TTTGTGATTGTTCTTTCCCCTAAGCAAGGCGCAGTTGTGCATCCGGGCGCAGCCGAGCCGGGTGCGACTCCGTGCCGATGCGGCCGCAATCCGACGCACAGTCCGAACCGATTCGGCTTCCCGATTCGATGCTGACTGATTCTGGAGATTGGGGAAACACGCCGCAATCGAAACGCTCAACCCTTCCAAGATCTTGGCTTCGAGAGGCTCACTCCTGTCGGAGGGCGTCGACTATACACCTACCCCGTTTCTGGCCAGGCCGATGCTGGGCTTAGGATTGGTCCATGTGCCCCTAAGCCAGGATGGCGAACACATCATCCTCAGCCCAGGGAGATCTTGGCCCAGGAGGATCGATGTAATTAGGTGTATAGTTGGTGTCCAGACTGGGGAAGCACGCCGCCATCGACAGGATCAACCCATTCGAGATGTGGGTTCCGGATGGCTCCCTTCTCGATCTTGGCCGAGTTTGGTCGTCGTCAATTCGTGGATGATCTTCGCGAATCAGCGACCGCGTCATGGATCATGACCAAGATCGGCGTCGACCAAAGAGTCCGCGACATCTCTGTCATGGCCGTCGTGCTTCTTCCTTCGAGCGCTCAGCCCCCACGAGGCCTGGGCTTCGGGAGGCTCCCTCCTGGGGCCCGGCGGAGGTGTCCTCCGGGCACGTGCTCCAGGAGAACGAGCGCATCGTCCACCGCGCGGTCCGCTGCAGGGAGAACCCGGTGCTGGATCGGGGGCCCATACGCGTCGTCGCCGAGACCGAGGAGACCCCCGGGCGTGGATGGGGGTCCAGACAACCACCGTGTTGCAAACACCAGGACGGATTTTTGTCCGCCGTGTTCGGCCTCCTGGGACCCTCGGCCGGCCCCGGGGAGCGCCAAAAGGAACGTCCAGGGGAGGGAGGGGGAGGAGGAGGAGGAGGAGGAGAATTGATTGAGGAGGGGAGGGGGAGGAGGAGGAGGAGGAGGAGGAGGAGGGAGGGGGAGGGGGAGGAGGAGGAACGTCAGGGAGGGAGGGGAAGGACCTGGGACGGAGAGCGAGTCCCAGGGAAGGGGTGCAGACCTCCGGTTTGAGCCACGTTGCACAGGTCACGACGTCGGGTGTCTGGTGAGGGAGGGGGGGGGGGGAGGAGGATGAAGTGGATGAGGAGCAGGAGGAGGAGGGGGAGGAGGAGGAGGAGGAGGAGGGGAGGAGGGGGGGAGGAGGGGAGGAGGAGGAGGGGGAGGAGGAGGAGGAGGCGGAATAGGAGGAGGCGGAATAGGAGGAGGAGGAGGAGGAGGAGGAGGAGGAGGAGGAGCAGGAGGAGGCGGAGGAGGAGAGCGGAGGGTGTAATTGGTGAGGAGGGGGACGAGGAGATGGAGGGGGTGGAGGGGGGAGGGGGACGAGGAGAAGGAGGGGCGCAGGGGGAAAGGGGGGGGGGAGGTAGAACGGCAGGGGGGAGGGAGAAGGCGGGGGACGAGGAGGGAGGAGGGAGGTGGCAGTCTTCAGGGAGCGGGGCAGCGGCAGGTGCAGGCCACCCTCTGCACACACAGCGCCCTGAGCTCCTGTGGCCCCTGGGAGAGGGGGGAGGGAGGAGGCAGCGAGAAGAAGGTTGTTGTGGATCGGGGGACAAAAAGATACGGATACGTGTTGTCCCCCTTCGTTTTCGGCCTTTCCTGGTCCTCCTGGGGAATCCTCGTTGTCACCGCTGGATTCGCCTAGAAATTCTGGTCAGAACGCACCCCAAGAGAGGTCCGGGGACAACACGTATCCGTATCTTTCCGCCCCCCAAGTGGAGCGACCGAATACCAGGGACACATATTAAACAAAAAAAACAAAAAAAAACAACATCTCGCCTTCAGGATCGGAGGACCTCTCATCCTCAGACTCCCTGGGAGGCTCTCGCGAGGCCTCGCCCAGCGCCCGAACCACGTCCAGGTCGCTCTCCACGAGGCCGAACGCCATGAGCACCTCCCCATGGGAAGCGGAGGATGGGGGAGGGAGGATGAAGAATGATGGAGAACGGAGGACGTGCAGGGAGGGCCCCCCCCCCCGCCCACTTCCCCTCCTCCCCGCGCCTCCTCGCACCTCCGGCCCCGCCCGCCCCTTTCTCGTCCTCATCATTCTGCCCGCCGCCTCCTTTAGCCTCCTTCCTCCTCCTCCTGGTCCTCCTGGTCGGACCACCAGAGATTTTGGTAGGGCGGGCTGGGCATTTGTCCGTAGATTTTCCCAGTATGCGTGACCTACGTCTCGCCTTCGCGCCGTAAGCATTGGATTTAGAGTTTCCAGCGGCTTCACGGATGGAGGGCGTTTGTGTTTCAAAATGTGTCTATGGTTTTAGCGCATCGCATAGTCGCTTCTAAAAGACTCAACATATTCACGCTGTGAAGTCTCATCGTTGTCAACGTGTGTTTTTCGTCGGGAGCCGCGCACTTGTTATCATAGCTTTACCGATCGGTGGCGTTTCTTTCTCGAGAAGAGATTCTCGCTTGAGTGCCGCGCGCATCTGTCCGGACGTCTCCGCAGAGTGCACGGATGTCGGGCGAACCATTGTCATAAGTGGTGTTTTGTTCCGTGTCGCGCACATGTCGGGGAAACGCAAGACCCGAGTAAGCCGGAACTCGGGTTTGCCGACGTTTTTTTGACGAGCGCGTCCTGGATTTTGACGGTCCAGTTTTCGTGGGATGTCTGCGGCGGGAGCTCGCGTCAGATTTCAGATTGGGCCTCGTCATTTTTATGATGGCCCCGTCGGGCCAACCCGAGTCCCCCGTACCCGAGTCTTACGGCTCCCCGAACATGAACGACGCAAGCAAACGAGGTCGTTTGCGCCGCCATTGGCGCGCAGGCTGCCCGCGCAAGCTAGCGCGTAAGCGCCCTCGTCTCTAACGCAGCGTGCCGCGCCGACGGCCCGCGGAAGCCACTGTGGAAGGTCGCCATGCCATCTCGCGCAAGAGCGGCCGTTGATCGTCGCGCACGTGCTTCCCGACAGTTTCCAGCAGCTCCGCTGATTGAGGGCAAGCCGCCTTCGTCACGACGTGCGTCCCGTCTTGTGGGGCGCGCACGTTTTGCTGCAGACCTCTCCCACGGCCTCGCGGATGGAGAGCGGAACCGGTTTCGGCAGAAGAGGGTACCCATCGATCGTTGAAGGTAGGTGTTTTTGGAGTCCCAGATTCCAATCTCTTTTGGGCGCCTTCCTACTTCAATGATCGAGTGGTTTCACCTTGTCCGTCCTCCTTGGGGGGCGGGCGGGCACCCCATCTAGTTTCACCTCCTTCCTACTTCATGTTTCTGCCTACTTCTTCCGACCGATGGGCATTTCCTTGTCACTTGTTCGGGTGGCATCTGTTTAATATTCCAGATTTCGTAATAAAGGGAGGGGGGTCTCATTTCGGGGGGGGTCTCTTCCAGGCTATCTTGGAGGGCCTGGGGGGGTCTAGGGACGATGTTTTGGAGGGTTCTCCCACGGGGGGGGTCTAAAACTTCTCGTCTGGGAGGGTTGAGACCCCCTCCCTTTTATTACGAGATCTGGAGTACTTCTTCCAAGCGTAAGATTGCAAGGAGGATCATGTCCAAACTGGAGCGTTCCCCGCAGTGAAGAAGAGCGTTCCCGTTGGGACTTTCGAACAGGGCCTTGGGACGGAAACGTGTATTGGCAGCATCTCTGATGCATTTGAGGTCCACTCTGTTTCTCCTCTTCCTCTTCCTCTTTCTCCTCCTCCTCCTCCTCCTCATCTCCCGCCGCCCCGTCATATGCCTCCCGCGTTCTTCTCATCATCCTCACCTTTACGATTCCTCTCCGTCATCATCCTCACTCCCATCTTATTATTATTCCTTTTTTCTTCATCCTCATCCGTCTCCCGTCTCCATCTTCCTCTGCCTTCCCGCCTCCTTCCCCTCCTCTTTCCCCTCGCCTCCTCCTCCTCCTCGTCCGCCTCCTCCTCCTCCTCCTCCTCCTCCTCCTCCTCCTCCTCCTCCTCCTCCAAGGCCTCGGACTCTTCAGGCCCGCAGCCACATGCGGCCTTTGCATCCAGGGTCTCCCCCTGCCGTGGGCCGCCAGGCCCGCGAGGGGGAGCGGCGGCGGTCCTCCGCGCAACCGGCAGCGGCGCTGCGCTCCGAGGGGAGGGCGCCGAGGGCTGCGGCGGAGCAGGGGGGGGGGGGGCGCGAGCGGCAGCAGCAGCGGGTCGGGCAATGCAGGGGGGCAAGGGCGGCGTCGAGTGGGACGACGAGAACTACGGGCACGGGCGCTGGGGGACCAGGTGGGACGTCATCGACCGCCATCATCATCAGCATCTAGGACGGTGCAGGCGTCACTCGTGGGTTTCAATCCTTTCACCTTGATGCGCACGGGACGTACTGAAAGTTTGGGCCTTGAGTTCGCTCGGGCCTCGGCTAGATTCGCCCCTGGAACTAAGATACCTCTGCGGCTCCGCCAGCCGCGCCACAATGAGCGCACCCCCGGGTTCCACTGGATACATTGGGGTGGGGGCGAGGATCCAACGCGCATGCATCGGCTGGCGTCTCCATGGCTGTTTCGGCGAAGCTATATCAGACCCGCCACATCATCCGTATCACAGACCTTCCCCCGCGCCTTCGAGGTCGTGCAGGCTGTGTGGACATCGAACGGGGCCCTCAGCTATTTCGTCTCACTGTGGGATATCATCCGCCTCGCGTGTCCTCGGCGCGCCGGGCCCCCAGCTGGCGAGCGACGTGTAAGCAACTCGCAACATGGATCAGGCAGCAGGTAGACAGCACCCCAGCACCAACGCTTCCGAACATTTTTGCCGGCCTGAACTTCAGTATGGGAAAGGGCTCTGATGTTATCAACGACCACACTGTTGGGCCCTATCAGGCCGGCCGCGAGGATGATATGTCCATGTTTGGTCGTACGCAATGTGAGGGGAGCCATGTTACCTTCTTGAAGACACATCAGGATATTGGGACTATCTATTCTAACCTTATTTCCTGTGCTCACGAGCCCTTCTGCAGATTGGGGTACCAATGCGTCTGCTTTGAGGCCTCTGGGCGTCGTCTGCAGGCACTCTTGCACATGATAGGGCACGCATCGATGCACCTCCAGTTTCGCGCACCAGCACCGTCGCCGCACAAGCAACAGCAGGGATGTGCATGGGACTGGCGAGGGCTAGCAGCAGCACTGCAGAATGGGTATCGGAGGGAGGAGCTCATGAGTAAGACTTGCCAGGCCTGGACAGAGTACCGCTTCCGGTGTCGAGATCTCACGATGGGCGGGGAACCCACGCGATGCGCAGGAGTGGCCACAGATTGCGCGACAGGCTGCTGCATCGGTATTCTCTGCGCAGAGATCGACGCCAGAGGGGGTCACCGAGGCGAAGGGGGAAAGGAGGAGGTTACTTCGACAGCGAGCCGAACTTCGACATCTTGGGTTCGTGCTCTCGGGAGACATCCTGCGCCGTCTCGATCGCCAACTTCGATCGCATCGACGATGGCAGGGGTTGTGGAGGAGGGGGTCTCGCGAGCAGGAGATCAGGGAGGCGCGGGCGGTTCGAGATCAGGCGCGGGTGGGATGCCTCATTCGGCTTCGGGCAGGCGCCAACATGGGACCTCCCAGGAGATGTTACCTGGCCCCCCCAGCGAGTCGCTCTGGCGCCGAGGATATCAAGCAAAGCATGAGAACGCCTGCCGTCGAAGGGGGACTGACGACGACACATGCTCACAAGGGCAAATCCATGACCTCAGAGGCCTTTCCTGAAGCTCCTGGAGACTTCTCTCGAGGACTTCCCAGCCCACGGACCCCGAACCCCCTCCCGACCACGGAAG